CTAAATATTGGAAAGTCTCTGTTCATTACCCCAAGGGAGGGGGCTCATACCTATGCAGTTGTTATTGAAACTTACATTTATGAAAGCTTGCCACTTCTCTACTCTGCTTTCTATTTTGTCAAGGTTTCACACTACAGTGGAGCTAAAGGGAATCTAGGAGTCACTCAGACTCAACCCCCTGTTTCAATACAAGACGAAGAGCAGGGGCCAGGGAAGTTGAGTAATGGTAACAAGACGCCACTCAGCTGAGTGTTTTCCACATGTGGAGCACAGTACGGTGCTGCTAACCCTTACAAGTAGTATTATCCCTTCTTACAGATGAGAGAACTAAGGCTCGAGGTTAAGTGACTTGTATGAAGTCCCACCTCACACATGCTGCGTAAGGACTTGAGTCTGGTCTGCCTCGCGCTGAAGCTCCTACATTCTCTCTGGGCTGTGAAGGGAAAGAGACTCAAAGAGGCCTCAGGCAGGCAGCTGGCCATGGACCTGGGCCAGGCGCTGGGCTCGTCAGCCCCAGGCAGGGTTTTTCCCACTTTCTCCTAAGAGGCCCAGGGTTTTTCCTTTCAGCCTCTGGCTTATTGCTGGCCACCCCTCGCACGTGCTGTTCCTAGAGCTAGTGCTGACACCGGCCCTCGGCCCGCAGGGCTCAGGATGCCCAACTCCAGCACCTGCCACCATTTGACCAGGACTCACATATAGAAATTTATTTCCTTTTTTAGCCAGTGAGTGCACTTGGCCACAGCAGAGGCTATTGCTGGGTCCTCAGCTGGCCAAACAGTAGGCGCTGGTGTTCTGTGAAGTCAAATCTTAACAAGAGAAATAGGCCCCCAAGGCCTAGTGGGGCTGGACCTCTGCCTTGTCACTGTCTAGTTGTAGGACCTTAGAACAGTCCCTTAACCTTTCTATTTCCTCATCATTGGAAACCAAAGATTCTTTACTCATGGGGATGAAGTAATCTGTGAAGCACCTAGAATAGGGTGTCACTCACATGATACCCAGTTGGGGAGGGCGACTCCTGGAGGTGGGGAAAGCTTGGGCAACAAGAAGGATATTAATGTAAGTATGAATTGATGATTTCTCTAGGCAGGAAGACCCTCGGGGGCAGGGATGGTCCAGACTGCCTCAGCCTTTCCTGAATGCAGCTTTGGAGCCTGGAAATGGACTGCCCATGAGTCCAGGGGGCTCCCTCCTCCTGAGGAGCTACAGTCCTGGGGAATCTGATCTCTACTCTGAAGGTGTGCCCACAAGGACAGGCTTAAAACTGGCTCAGTTCCACTTGCAAGAGAAATAAAAGGTTATCTACTCTGGGATCTGAGGGGTCAGGAGTGACCCCTAACCTCCTACCTGCTCCTAAAGTTCTAAATCTTGAGATTTCAGGTTAGAAGAAGATTCTAGAAGTCCTCTGTGAAAATTCAGTGCCATCCTTACGTGAGAAGCTCTTTCTGGTTCCTACTGCTTCTCTGTGACTCTGGTAAGACATGCCCCCTCCCCGGGTCTGAGTTTGCTGAGTAGCTGGATGGTTGCTAAGACCCTTCCAGCTCTAAGTTAGAACACCTGGAGAGCTTGTTGACTTGTCCATTGTGATAATTTAGCAAGCTAGTGGCAAAGCCAAGAAGTAAATCCAGGGTTTTTTTGACCCCCAGTTTAGAGATTAGCAAAAATAGCCCCAGGAAAAAATCTGTGGTCATGAAAACCAAGCAGTATCTTCTCAGAATTACACATTAAGGTGAGACTTCTGACAAATCAAATGCAATTCAAAGCAACTGGAGCTGAGGACCAGGTGATCTGCATTCTACTCTATTATTTACTGTTCATTGAGCACCTACCGTGTGGTAGCCATCTTAATTACATTATTTCATTTAATCTTCATAAAATCTTACGAGAAAGGAATTTGTTAACCTCTTTGGTAGGTGAAGAAACTGAGGATTAGAGACATTCAATAATTTTCCCAAAGCCACAAAGCTGAAATTCTAACCCATGTGTAGTTCCACGGTCCAGAATCTTCCTTCTGCCCTCACTCTGAACCAGACCTACTCCAAGAGCCCTCTGTGCTTTTTCAATAACTCTGCTTCCGAGATCTCCCGACAACTTTTCTTTTGAAGGTGAGTGAATTGTTGAATGCTGAATTTTTTTGCTCATGATTTGCTAATATATCAGGAAGAACTGATTCATAAAGATGATGGGAAGGAAGGCAACTTCTAGAAGACATGAAACTTTCCTGGAAAAATGAGCATCTCTCCCCTTTGGTCAGCTCCGTCCTTTAGCCAGCGTGGGGCCAGTTTACACAGAGAGCTGCTGGAACCCCTGGTCCTTAGGACAGAGGGCAGAACCTGAGCCTCAGTCTCCCTGGCCCCGAGGGCTCCAGTTCCTGTCCTGATTGAGCCACAAAACAGGCTCTCTATACTACTTTGAGTTTGGTTCTCTGTTTTAAGGAGAAAAATCCCAATTTTATTACATGCATGTGGCTTCCAAAGACAATGGGGCAAAGTGGGACTTTATCTCCTGAGCTCAGAAATGGGATTGGGGCCAGGAGCTCCCAGGAAAGAGAAGGGAGACTCATGTGACAAAGACCAGAAGTTCTGTCACTAGCTATTTGCCCTGCCATACAGGAAGGTGTTTTAGATAGAAATCTTGTTTCTGGTAATGACCCTAATTCTAGATAAGACTCCCAATTTTCATTCTTCCTGTAAGTAACGGAGTGATAGAAGTTTCTTGTGAATCCTCAGGGCCTCCATTGACCTCACCTAGAAATTATCCACGCGCCAAAGTGGCATGCCTGGGGAGGCCTGCTCTGGACACCTTGGAGAGGCCTGTGCTTCCACGGAGTCTCCCACAGTAGCACCTAATCACAGGATAGACGATCCCATTCAATTCATGGGCCCTGCCAGTGCTCACCAGGAGGAGATTATACAGGGCAGACACCCCAGGGTGGCTGGAGTCTTGAGGCCATTTTAAACTTCTGCCCACCACTGCTCAGCTTTTCTCAGCCCTCCTCCTGGCCGCTGGAGCCCAAAACAGCCCCTGGCATGTCCCCCACACCCCAGCCAACAGAGCCAAAGAGGAACAAGTGGGCAGGTGGGGGCTGCCAGAAAACTGGATCCTAGAAATGCTCCAATGGAAGGAGGGAGGGAGACTTGAGGAGGGATAAGGCACAGAAAACACAGCCAAGGAGGGAGGTTAGAAAAGCCCTCGGGGTGACAGGGCAGTCTGGTGTTCTCCCAACCCAACAGGCCCTGACCCCGCTGGTCTCCAATGAACCCCATCTGTTCTCGCCATCTTGTTCCCCTTATTTGTCAGAGAAGAGGCTGACGGGTTATCTAAGAGAGCTCTTCTGGTTGCAATGGGCCTGGGGCTTTAGGCCAGCACAAGGTGGGGGCCAGGAGCGAGGCAGCTGGGAGACAAGGGCAGCGGCTGCCGGGCCCGGTAGAACACGCCTAGGCTCCAAGCCAGTGGTAAAGCAGGGCAGCGTGGTGCGCGGCTGCTGTGGCCCTGTCGACCTCACATGGCCGGGTGAAGGGATGCCGAGAGCAGGCCAGAGTGGAAACCAAGGAAGCATGTCCCCATTGTCTCTGCTGGGCACGCAGTGGTCACTGGGACTTGTTTGTGGACAGCAGTGAGGAAAAGACTCAGAGGGACAGCCAGGGGAGCAGGCTCCTGACCTGCCCCGGGAAGCTGGTGGGAGGGGGGAAGTTCAGCACTAGCCCTCCCTCTACACAGCTGCCCCCCTCCCCGCCCCCCCCCCCAGTGAATCAGGGTCCACTGGACTGTGACTCCAGGACAGGAGAGATGGAGGTCACCTAACCCGCGGACTGGAAGTCAGATGCAGCTGCCTCTGAACACCAGCTCGTGTTCCCAGCCCACCAGACACACAGGGGTTTGCACCTCCTTTATCTGCACCCCGACACCTGGCCCCCATCCCTCCTCTGTTCACTGTCACTGGGTTTCTCCCCGTGCCAGACCCGCCGTCCAGTGTTCCTCACGCCACCCTCCCTCCTCTGGGCTGGGGACCAGCGTGCCTGAGCTTGTGCAGGGAACAGCCAGCCCAGCGAGGTTCTGAGAAGAAAGAACCAGGCATCTCTCCATGATGACGGACACTGGAGGGGCAGCAAAGGACCCCCAGCACAGGCTGGAAGGGTGTAAAATCCTGGCTGGAGGGTCTCCTTCCCAGCCACTCGAGCTTGAGCCCGCGGAATCACGCCCTGCCCTGTGGAACTGAATGGAAGCCACTGAGGCAACTGAGTGGAACCAGAGGGCTCTGGCAACTTCCTGCACCTCATTTTGCAGATGAGGAAAATGTGACCCAGAAGGGGCAAAGGTCCAGCCCAAGGCCACACGGCCGCTCCGTGGGCCAGGATCTGGGTCTCCGGGCCCTGAGTCCGGACTGTCCACCACATGCTCCAAGGGGAGCTCAGAAAAACAGAAACTCTGCCCTGCGGCCTCCCGGGGAGGACAGGAGACCCCCAGTGGGCACCTCGGATCTGCTCCCTCCAGCCTCCGCAGCCCGGGCTGACAGTGAGTGGCAGGCCGCACAGCAGGGGACGTGACACTCCGCAGGAAACTAAGCGGGGAATATTTTTAAACCATCCAACATGCCTTAGGGGGAAAAAAATCAAAACACTCCCCTCCATGCTGCCCTAAGCATGTCAGAGGAGATTCCAAGCCCAGCAGCCTCGTAAAGCGGCGGCTTTGTGTTTCAAGGGCCGACGCCACCTTTGCACGGCGCCTGGAGGGTCTGGCGCCCCCTTCTCTGCTGCCCCTGGAGCTCGGCAACCCCCCAGGCAGGGGGACTCCGCGGGCTCCTGCTCCTGTCCACGGCGCCCCGCAGGTCAGGTAAGAAATGTACCTGCTGCCTCATGAGCCGCCTGAAGGGAGCGACCTCACCTCGCAGGGAGGCCGCCCCCAGGTAGGCGCTCAGCTGTCAGGCGGCCGGGGTTCAGGACCCTCCTGGCTGCTTCCCATCAACTTGCACCTCCAGCTGTGAGAAGCGCAGTCCACCTTACCTTCCTCCTCTCCCGCCGCCTGCAGCGTCCGCCGGCCTCCTGGCCCCTGGCGCCTCCTCAGCTCCCTGCGCCCCAGTGGCCAGTTGCTCTTCCACCCTTTTTAATCGGTGTCTGCCGCCCGCCCTCCTCCCCCTCTCCCTACGGTTTCTCTCTCCACCCCCTTCCCCCTCGGGATCCCTCCCTCCCCTCTCTCTTTTGTGCTCTTAAACCCTTTGCTTCTCATTTAAAAAGTTTCTTCCCTCCAGATCCTCGCGGCCTCTCCTCAGCGAGGTCTCCCCGGCAGGACCCAGAGCCCTCTCCTCCCTCCCGCCGCCCTCCTGGCACCACAGCCCCCGCGGCTCGCCCTCTCCCTCTCCCTCGGCTCCCCTGGCCCTGAGCTCTGGCAGGCGCTGCCTCTCGCACTTTGCCTGCTCACCCCTCTGCCCCTCTCCAGGCTCCTCAGGCCACAGCTCCGCTGGGCATCGGCAGGAAACTGGCACTGCCAGGAGATCCCCATCCCTTTCCTGTCGTTAGAAACAAAGGGTTGTTCTTCCACAGCCAGGGCTTTTGGGGACCTCTGCTGTGCCCACATCCATGCACCGAGCACGGGGAGCATATGGTACTGGGGAGCATAAGGATCGGCTCACAAATCACAGCCCCCAGCCCCCAGAGTACGCACCAGGGGTCACCTAGGTCTCCCAGGCAGGAGAGGACATCCCCACCCGGGGTCACACTTTCCCCTCTTTCCTGCTGAGAGCACCCTGAGTGCCCGGCCAGGCGCGGGGTGGGGGTGGGGTCAGATAGATGTCTGGTCTATTTTTATTTCACTTGATTATCCCAGTTTCCAATTCTACAGGGGAGACCATTCTGAACTTCACATTTGTGGACACTGAGGTTCAGAGAAATCACACGATCACGGTGACCCCCTGAGTCAGTGGAGGAGGCAGGATTCATTGCAGCCAACGGCAGAATTCCCCACCTTCCCTCCACAGAACCCGCAGGCCTCCAGGTTGGGGGAGTCGGTGCAAGAAGGCTGCTTCTTGTTAGATCAAGTGACTCAGGGAGCAGCTTCAGAAGCTGGGAGGCGTCCTTCCCCTGAAGCCCCCTCCTTCTTGACTCCTCTCCTCCACTCAGCTCGAGAGCCAGCGCTGAGGCGCCTGCCCGAGTGTGGGGAGTGTGGGATGGGCAGCAGTAGTGGGCACTGTGGGGGGGACTGAACCCAGACAGACCGGGACCAAGAGCCCACAGACTGTGAGGACCAGGGGAAAACCCCAGAGACCACCTGGAGCAGCCAGGGAAACTGAGGCTCAGAGAGTCAAGGTCACTTTTCAGTGTCACACATGGTAAAGTAGGTGGCAGAGGCAAGAAGGTCCCGGGTCCCCTCTTTGCTCCTCACTGTCACCTTCACACACCGCCCCATTCACAAACCTGCCCACATTTTGCAAAACAGTCTTTGTCTTTTGTGGGTGAATAGCCTGAGTCAGCCAGCGGGGGAAGGACGTGGGGCCCAATGTCCCCTGTCCAGGGAAGCAGCAGCCCTGACGAAGACAAACCCAGGATTCTCGACTCCTTAGCCAGAGTCACCCCTCACTCCCCACACCTCCTGTGCAGCACCAGGGCCTGAACCCTGGTTTTACCTTTTACTTCTTACTAGCCACTGACACTGGGCAACCTCTCTGCAGCTCAGCTTCCTCCACCATGAATCGAGGATAATACTGTTCCTCCTACGGTCACCGTGAGAACTAGTGAGTGTGTGACGCCTGGCACATGGTAACTGCTGTGGTTGTAACTGAAAATACAACACCACACCACACAACACAACACAACACAACACATACAGTGCATGCAGTACAATGCCTTTCCCCTCCCGTCTGCTCCAAACTCCTGGGAATTCTCACGTGGCACCAGAGAGAGCCCCTCCCAGGCACTCTGCAAAAGCTGGGACTCCTGACATGCCTCACCATCGCCAGGCAGGGGAGAGTCAGTTAAAGAACCGCTGCCTCTCTGCGAACGGATAATCGAGGGTGGGGACGGCCTGGGTGAACAGCAATTCCTAGACCACGGGGCTGTCAAGGAGCCCTGTGCAGCGGGGTGGGGGGGGTGGGGGGGGGCAGAGCATGCAGGGCACAGAAGGAAGTGCCGCCGCCCTGCTGGGCAGGCAGAGAAGTGCAGCCATAGGGAAACCACAGGGGTTGCCAGAAGTGACCGGGAAGCGCGAGTCAGGGCTAGAAAGACTGAGGTCTTGGGCTCGGGACATCCCGACCCAAGAAAGGCACGAAGCCCTCCCGCTGCTTGGGCAGTGTCTGGGACAGGGGCCACTCAATGGCTCACGATCAGCGGCCTTGGCCAGGCCTTCAGGAGTCTGGTTTGCTCTTCGCTGGTCCCCTCGCGGGTTTAGATAAGGACTTGACCAAAGGAAGGAAAATGTCATGTGGGCTGCCGGGACGAGTCTGGCTGTGACCACCTACCTGAGAGGAACGTGATGAGACATGACTGATGTGTCAGAAAAGGAGGCGGAGGCCCAAGGACCAGGGGTGGAAGTGGGAGCCCCACCATGCCTCCCCCCTTCACCTCCCCAAAGAGGCGTTAACCTCTGTGCTCCACATACAGAGAATGGTGCAGAACGTGGTGAGAACTTGAAGAGGAAGGCGAAATCTGGTCAAGGAATTGTTAAGTGATCCTTGTAAGGGAAGGCTGTAGATGCAGGATGGCAAAATAAGCTTTATTCAACATTTGCTATGTGCCAAGCTTTGTGGTAGACACACTTGACATTCTTCTGCTTGGAGGTGAAAAGACAGACAGACAACCTTCCGAAGATCTTCTGAACGATCCTTCGGGGTTTCCCATGAGGATTCTTTGGCCACTCCAAAACGGCAGACCGGGACTTCTCTTGTCCGTAAGAAACTGACATTCCAGCTGCAATCAGGAGCTCTTCAGCCCAGACAGTCGGCACAAATGACAGCATTCTAGATGCATTTGTCCTCTCTGTGTAATGAGACAATAAAGTGCTAAATTATGTGAGGAAAAAGTCATTTGGGAAATAAGTTCATAAGGATGATCTCCTTGCTGCGCTGTGATGGAGAGCACAGGAAGGCTCACTGCAAGCTCTCTCTCCCCGAGGCATTGCCACCTCACCGTTCTGCAGACACATGCCAGGTTATTATTTCCATTTTACAGAAGAGAAAATTCAAATGCAGAGAAGTTTAGTAACTTGCCCAGGATCACTCAGTTAACAGGCGGAGAGGTCTGCTTGGATGCCACGTCAGATGCTTCGTCCCCGCGGCTGCGGAGGACACCTCAGAGACCCGCGGGGCTGTCAGGGGGAGGCGCGGGCCCAGGGGACCCTGGAGAGGAGTGGGCTCCAGCCAGCCAGGGAGAAGGAGGCCGGGAGGATGAAGCCGCTGAATCACCTGAGACTTCCAGAAAGAGGCCCGGCCACCTTCCCTATGACTCTTTAAAGAATCTTTTGAAATTTGCTTTCCTTAGGCAAGAAAACAAATTCTGAGATCTCCCAGAGTCTTCTCTGCCCGGTGAATCCGACTCCACGAGTTTCCTCCCAAGACGCTGCGGTGCAGATGTTCACAGAGCTGCCTCCCGTCGCGCCTCCCGCGATGGCACAGGCAAACCAGCGCTGTCAGCAGCTAACTCGAGAGCAGGAGTCCCCCGTGCCTCCTCGGAGGGCGCAGGGGTGTCGTTGGGTGTCGTTGGAGCCCCGCTTAGTGGGCTGAGGCCAGTGAGCTGCAGGCACCGCAGGCATAAGCCGGCCCCTTTAAGACTTTTATGTTCCAGAGAATGGCTCCAACGGCAGGAACACCCTGTTCCAAGAAGCAGAAAGTAAAAGAAACACAGGCTTCCTTGCCCTTGGTGCTTTAGTCCACGGATCTGCTCCCAGCACATCTCACGCTGGCATCCCCAAGGAAAGTCAGGCACAGCCTTGCATCCCCCCCGGGCTCAGGCAGGTGGAGCTCAGGCTTGAGACGGCTTCTGTGGTGGGCTCGGGCCAAGGGCCCCTGAGAATGGGCGAAGATGAGGAGGAGAGGGGAAGGAGCCAGGATCAGCCAAGCTTGAAGGTCCCATGAAGTCAGATGGGGCTGCAGCCTCCCTGGAGGGCCGAGGGCCCCGGGTTCAGGGATTTAATCCTAAGACAAAAAGTGGCACCTCTCCCTGGGACATCTTGGAATGACATTCGCCCTCTAGCCCTGAAGGGAAGTCCTTGACAGCAAGACGGAGAGGCTTAAATCTTTTGGTTCAGCTGTAAGCAGCGTGTAGAGTTTGCGGCGCCCGTCTGAGCACCTCTCTCTCTGCTCAGACGGCACCCTTGATCTGTCCGCACCTGTCTCACAGGGCGACGACAAAGGCTTTGCTTCTCCTTTATTTTGACGAGTATTTTTTAGTCAAGTCTGAGGTATGGTGCAAGGTGGTTTATGGACAAAAATCAGGAAATACAAGAGCAAGAAACTTTCTTCTATGTGTGCCATTCATGCATGTGCGCGCAGACAAATCACCCCAAAACAGAGGCATCGCACGTAAGCTGGAGACACAATAGCCCTGCCCGTCTCCATGATGCAGCCAATCATCTTCAAAGCCTACTTCAAAGGTTCACTGTCTCCTCCCAGTCAGAGCCTACATGCAATATATTTCAAAAATTGTTACTTTACCATCAATTCACAATACTGTGGGCTCTGTATGTGTATGTCCCTCCTCACCCACCACCAAAATTCTAGTACGAATCCCACCATCCTATTGACCTTTTCTCCACCTCTTTCCCCTCCCCCAGCCTCTGGTAACCACCATATTTTTCAGAGTCTGAGAATTATTTTTATTAGCTTATTAGTAATTTGTTAGTTCATTTGCTTGGCTATTTATATTCCATATATGAAAGAAACCATCCAGAAATTGTCTTTTCCTTCCTGATTGATTTCAGTTTGCCTAATCACCTCAAATCCCGTCTACGTTGTTGCAAAAGAAATTTTTACTTACCATTCACTGATGGTAAAAGATTTACAATACTACACAATTTAGGGAAGGACAGTGCCACATCTCTCTGTAAGTCTCACCCTCTACTGCCAAAGTTCTAGTGCCATCCCCACTCTCAGTACAACACTCACCCTTTTAACAGCTGAGTAGTA